ACGAGAGAGTTAGTTTCGATAATGTTGTGGCACGCGAGCGGACTTACCCATCATTGGGATCCCATATCCGGACACTGGTGTCCAGACTGCCTGTTGCAATCTTCTTCCCGTCAAAGGCGATCGCATATATCTGACTAAAGTGGCCAGTGAGTGTGCGCAGGCACTTGCCCTCGGATATGCTCCAAATCTTGGCTGTGGTGTCGTAGCTGCCGGACACAACGATGTCACCGTGTATTTCGAGGCATCGGACGCTAGCCTGGTGACCAATGAGTACATGCTTGCATAGGCCCTTCTTGAGATCCCAGATGCGCAGTGTGGTATCCCTTGAGCCGGATATAGCCGTGTTCGCATCGGACATCTTCAAGCATCGCACAGTCGAAGTATGACCGCGCAAAGTGAACTGGGGAAAGCTGACAACCTCTGTTAGTTGCTATCATGGGGAAGACGGCAGAACAACTTACCCAGTTGCAAGATTCCAGACGCGCACATCGCGATCGCATCCACCGCTGACTAGAAGGTCGCCCCAAGGCACCATAGCCCATACACCCATGACGTGTCCCTGGAGCGTCTTCTGATGGTCGCCGACAGTATCGAAGACGTGGATCTTCGCGTTGTCAAGTGCAACCACAATGTACTTGTTGGTCAGGTGTAGACTGGTTACTACGCCCTGATCCGGAGTAATCTGCCGCGCATCGCACACTCCTCCATTCCGCCACGCCGTCTCAACCATGTACCGCTGCTTGAAATGCGACCGGTATGTGGTTGCTTGTTGCTTTCGTTGTGAAGGTTTCCTCTTCGCGGCTCGGTCCAGGCTCTGCGTCCGCAGACCATCAGCACCGCCGTTGGACGGGCCGACCTCAAGGTGTTCTCTCGTAGCGACGTCCTCTACCCTCGGTGCGCGCTCGTCGTTCTGCCACCATGACTTTGAGTCGGTGTCCTCCATCTCGTCGGTTGTGTCGTCTTCCTCAATTCTTTCTTCTCTCGACAGAGCCCTGAAGGAGTACTTCTGGCACAGTAACCGCCAGGCGCTGTCGTCATTGACGAGTTCGCGCCACTTCTTGGATACCTGCGATGCCCGAGCGAGGGTAGTGGGGTCGTCTACACATTCCAGAATCTGTGCGATGTGTCAGCGATCGGGACTATACGGGGAATGTATACAAAACGCACTCTTAAGCAGAGTTCGGTAGGCAGAACCATGAAGGGGTCCTTCTTCAATCTAGGACTGACGAATTCGGCAACAAAGCTGAGCTCCTGGCTGTCGCACAAATTGAGCAGCTCGCCCAGCAGGCGCATCCGCTCGGCTCTGTTCATGTCGCCAAACTGCGCCCGTATGCTCTTGATGTCTCCATCTTCGTGTTCGGCGGCGGTGCTCCAGTCGGGCACCCGCTGGGTCGGTGTCGGACTCGGCGCAGGCGTAGGCGGTGAGGCGGGCGCAGAGGGGAGGAGATTGTGCGGTATCGTCGAGCTCAGGGGGCTGTTGGGTGTGAGTATGGGCCGTGGTGCTCCCGATCGAGACATGCGGCCGGGCTTGCGCGGGTGTGGTGATGTGTACATGGTGGAGCGCGAGGACGAGGCTGTAGCGGTGGCAGAGGCGGCCATGTCGGTGTCAGAGTCTTCAGTCGGCGGCCCTGGGGCATCTCGGTCTTCCCGGACGGGTGTGAAGTAGTCTGACGAGTCCATGACGGCGGTCTTGCAGACTTCGGAAGCGGTATGGCGTTCCCTAGACGGCACGGCGCTCTCTGTGTAGCAGCGAATGGCAGAACGGCAGGGGCGGCGGACGGGTATCGATGTCGTCCAACGGGGCGCAAATATGGCGGCAGTCACGCTGGAACGAAGGGAAGGAGGTCTGCGGAGGTTTCGAGTGGGCAGGCGCGACTGAGTGACGCCGGCGGCCAGCCAAGACATCTCTCAGCCCTGGCAACCTCAGACGTCCATTTCCAAGCTTCACATCACCATCCCTGCATATGCACTTGAGACGACTGAGCCTAGTCTGCATGGTAAATCTCCTGTGCTGCGTCTACGGTCTTGCGTGCAGTCCATAATTAGACGCCCGTCGTCAAACGTCCCAAGGGGTCTGGCGCAGGCCATCATGTTTCATGCCATTGTATTGTCTTTGCGAACGCCAAACCGCCGTGGTTCCTTCGACACCAACAAGCGCAAAACCAATGGCTGAGACCCGCACCCTCGAGTGCTGCGTAGCACGGAGCGGTCCAGTTTTCCTTCCATGTATCTTCAGCCGCCATCACCTGTCACGCAGAGATGCACCGTGTACGCCTTAGGCACAGTACAACACCACCTGAGCACCCATTTGCACGGCGCTTAGAGTCACGAGCCGGCTACGCTATCTCGCCATCACAAGCGACCCTTGTTGCAACTCAATAACTAACATGTCATGGCGGTCACGCCCTGCACCTCCTTTTCCCATTAGAAGACGTGCACGGTGCTTGTCGTAAGAGCTCGATCGATCGCCCTAAGTTCGACATGATGTTTCCAAGGCCCGAACATTCTACCTTGGTACTCTTCGAATCAACCAAACTACAATGCATACTGCTCGGGTTATCTCGTGTCTGGTGATGTAGGCGATCCAACAATACTTGGATGGTACATCTCGATTGCGAGCCTACATACAGGTGCTCTCGAATCTTAGGTCCTGGACTGCATGCTAGCACATTTCTTGTGCTCCTCAAGTTCTGTGCGGCAAAAGCACTGCAGACATTGATGAACGCCCCAAATGTAGGTAGGTCCTAGCAAAATGCGAATGGGTGTAGGAGCTCAAGTTGCACCTTGCGTTCTGCTGAGTTATCGTTTGGTTCGTTCAAGGAGCGGTCTCGAGGCGTGATGCGCAAGAAGCTATGCCGCCGAACATCTCCGCTGGGGACCGACATGTGCTTCCCCGTTCGATATCTCTCGATTCGGTCATGTTGCGCACGGTGTCTTTTGGCGTGATGTTCCCGAGGTCTTCGTAGAGGCGGGTGCTTACCTAAAGAAGGCTGGCAGGACGGGCATCGTGCGAGGGAAGCACGCAATTTCCCCGCGACGTCATTGGATCCGACATCGTCGCATTCCCATCAGTTTCCGCGCGACGGGTCCGTCAACGGTCCAGCCCGTTTGTAATCGTGAATATAGCGTCATCATGGTGTCTCTGTACTGTCTCCACCCTCGCATACCTCTGCCCTTGATACGCGCTTCATCTGGGCAACTGCTACAGCCATGAGCGTTCCCCGTAGTTTGTTCGCCAGCGCGCGGGCATCACGAACCGCAACCACTACTCGATGCTTCGCCAAGAGACCATCTCAGACTTCGCTGCTGTTCGCGAGGCAGCAGTCGAACCAAGCTACTAGACAGCTGCACCAGCAGACACCACGGAAAGCCCAACACGCCGCTGCCGCCCAAGAAGTCGAATCTTCAAACCCCGCCCTATCCTTCCCATGCCTCGACGCGCACGAATCTCGCTCTGCGTCTCTCTCAAGAAAACGAGCGTCCTCAGGGCCCGAGCCCTCGTATACCTCCGGACACACGCTAAACTTCCATTCGACCCAGCCTATTCTGCTCGACTGGGGCGGCATACTGCCAGAGTTCAACATCGCATATGAAACGTGGGGGCAGCTGGACTCCAACAAGAGCAATGCCATCTTGCTGCACACTGGATTATCCGCATCTAGTCATGCCCACAGCACAGAGACGAATACAAAGCCAGGGTGGTGGGAGAAGTTCATTGGGCCTGGGAAGCCTCTAGACACCAACAAGTATTTCGTCATCTGCACAAATGTCATTGGAGGCTGCTACGGCTCGACTGGGCCTTCTTCGATCGACCCCGCGAACGGCGAGCGTTACGCGACTCGATTTCCGATTCTTACAATGGAGGACATGGTACGCGCGCAGTTCCGACTACTGGATAACCTCGGCATACAGAAGCTGTACGCGAGTGTAGGATCGAGCATGGGTGGCATGCAGAGTCTGGCAGCTGGAACGCTTTTCCCGGAACGAGTGGGCCGTCTCGTTAGCATCAGCGGATGTGCGCGCAGCCACCCATACAGTATCGCCATGAGACACACTCAGCGGCAAGGTTAGTACAAGCACTCTAGGTCAGCCATGCGCAATCGTTGACGTGCAACTAGTACTCATGATGGACCCCAACTGGGCTCGCGGTTTTTACTATGACGGCATTCCTCCACACGGCGGTATGAAGCTTGCCCGAGAAATCGCTACAGTCACGTATCGGAGTGGTCCCGAATGGGAGCAGCGATTTGGCCGCCGGCGTGCCGATCCTTCGCGACCACCTGCTCTCTGCCCCGACTTCCTCATTGAAACATACCTCGATCATGCGGGAGAAAAATGGTGTCTGGAGTACGATCCAAACAGCTTGCTCTACGTTTCGAAGGCTATGGATCTATTCGATCTGGGACAAGAGCACCGTAACCGCATCAACGAGGTGCGCAAGGCAAACAGCGGTAAAATGCAGGCATACTTGGACGGCCATGATATCACATCCGACACCAGCAGCGACGTCTGCAGTCTGACTTTGCCTGATCAGCCCTATGAGGAGAAGGAGCAGCCCGCCGACATCGATGCTGTAGCTCAGACTGACGGAAACGAACCACCGGCCGACCTCGTGGCAGGTCTGAAGCCACTCGCGAATACTCCAACTCTTGTTCTAGGTGTCGCCAGTGATATTCTTTTCCCTGCTTGGCAGCAAAAGGAAATTGCAACGACACTCAAGCGCACTGGCAACAAGAACGTCACGCACATCGAGCTTGGAGAGGAGAAGAGCTTATTCGGCCATGACACGTTCTTGCTAGATCTTCAGAACGTCGGAGGTGCTGTCCAGAACTTCCTGGGATGAGCGCAGTACTCTTTTTTCTTCGAACAATCACTGATCTACCAGGAGCAGCTATTGAACTTGAAGAATGTGCATTGCAGGCGTTTTGTTGATCCCTCACGAGCGTCGAAATATTTCTATACCAAAGAACCCAATATTATTTTTGCACTTATACTGTCACCTACTTTGAGCCAGGGATCTCGCTATTGACATTCAATCCCTTCCACTCTGCGCTCATAGCCTCGCCGACCCACTTGCACTCTGTCAGCCCAATGTGCTCGCGGACGTATAGCTCCAAAGTTTTCGCTCCCGGCGCACCAGTGTAAATTCCTAAAGCACCTACGCGGGGAACGTGTAAGCTAGACGCGAGCCGGGTATCCGCTGTTGTCTGCAATGGAATGAGTCGTGTAGCTGTCTCGGATGTGGCCGAAGCAGCAGATGATGGGGAGAGAGCCGACAAGTGGACCAGCGTTGGGAAGTGGGCATGTGCGGGTGATAATGAGGGCTTGGGGTGTGTTAGTATGACCATGCTTAAGGGTCTGAGAGATTCTTTGGAACAGTCTGTCGTCGGGGGTTTTTCTTTGGTGCCCTCTAGAGCAGACTCGGGATACGAAACAGGTGCTGTAGTCGGAGCGTTTTTTGCGGCCAAGGCCTCTAAATGCCGAGTGACACTGTTGATGCCAACGAGCAAGTGATTGCCAATTTCCGGTGATGGGGATGTGTTCTCGGGGCCATCCTCGTTTGCCTTGGTGTTACGGTTGCGCTTCTTGCCTTTGGATGGGTGGATATAGGTTCTGCGATGGTCACCTAAAGGCGTAATAAGACTATGGAATTGTTAATGACCGAATTGGGAGAACTTGTGATGCAACTGTCAAAAATCGGCGAGCGCGGGTTCATGAAGCTCCTCTCTGCGTACCTACTTGGATAGCAATTCTAATATGACTTCTTCGTCCTCGCGTGTGATCTCGGGCCTGTACAAATCAGCATAGCTCGTGGGTTGAAGCATGGTACCACCCACCACTGCGTCTCAGAAAATGGCGACGATGTCTTGAACACAGGTTTTGCATTGGCCTTCGCTGTTTGTTTCGTCGCAGGGGCCATGACGAAGTGTGTGCTCTCTGACCCTTCTTCCTCGTACCACTGACCGTGGTGATGGTCACGTCGTCAACGTCGAAACAGCAAAAGTAGTTTTCAAGCTGACCGAAGTGCGCCCGAAGCCTTGTCAGTACTCAGTCTAGATAAGTGAGACTTGTAAGGTGGAGTAGACCGGCGTGCCTTGCATTAGAAGGAGGATTTCTCGCTCTTGGACGGATAAGGCTTAGCGCACCTTCACTAGCGGCGCGCTAGCTCCACAGCGGGAACGAACCAGGATGACGATAGTGGGGTTTCTCAGCTACGCGTCCGAATATCTGAAGCTCTGCCTACCAACTGGAACCGTTTCCTTCGGAGCGCATACCCTCAATTCACTGTGTTGCAGTCGCTGACGCTAATGAGACCCAATCCCCCCGCGTTTTCCCTGCCGCCGCGCGGGGCTATCGGTCACTAAGGCTGGGAGCTGCTGCTGTTGCCTGTACTGGGGAACTGCTTGCCTCTGCCTGGCCTCACCTGCCTGCACGCGTGTTAACAGTCGCCGGCCACGCCTAGTCCTTTCGCAAACAGCACCGCCTGCCCTCTACCGTCATGACCGCGCCGGACAACGACACAGTGCAGCCTGTCGCTGCAGACGAGCCGCCAACCACCGCCTCTGCCTCGCCGCCGCGCCGCGACTCGATTGAAGACGCCGACGCAAGCTTCACCCGCAAACGCCCCCGCCTACACAGCGGGAGCAACAGTCTATGCGCTATGCCTACCGACCCACAAACTCCCGTCAACACCGCCATGTCGCCCTCGGAAAAGCAGGTAGAAATGACAATACGCTCACACCCGCCCTCTTCTCCGGTACACGGTGGAGATGAGGACTACACCAATCCTGACAACTTCCTCGAGGCTGCTTCTCCTACCCCGGGCCAGTCTCCAATACTCATTACTAGTTCCGAGGACGAGCGCGGGAGTCCGCCCATCATGATAATAGACGACGACGACGATGAAGCAGATGCCTTCTCCGTGCAGGTGGACGCAGAAGATTATTTTCGCCGGTTCCCCTACGCACACCACGGGAGTTACTCCACGGTTGTTCGCGACCTGGCCAACCACGTTCAAGGAGGTAAGTCATGTCTCACATCCATTAAACGCCTGCGATACTAAAATGTTTCAGTTGACAACGACATCGATCCCCACTTCTTTCCCAGCATTTCGCAATGGCTGACCGATCTACCCGAGCCTGGCCCCCAGGTAGACTTACACGGTTTCTATACGAGCAAGGCCATGTTTTGGGACGACCTCGCTGGACTGGTGCACAATTTGCTCTCACGCAGGGCTACGTTTAGCCACCATTTGGATGATCGTCGTGCGGGCGACATGTTCTACGCTTTCCTCAGTGCCTACATCAGGGCATGCTCCCTCCTCCTCCTCGCCGACGTATGGCTACTCTCCCAACCCCGTCCCGGCGAGATATATTCTTTGCCTCTTCTTAGTCAGAAGCATATACGAAACTGGTATACCATTCTTCGCCCGGACAAGGCTCCTGCATTCGCTATGGTGAGCAAAGAATATTCTGTCGATGTTCGCAAAATGATCGGATTGTTACAAAAGGATTTTATGGCTGCCAACGGTGCCCAAAATATCTTACGGCTATCCAGCGAGGCCTTCCACCGCGTGCCATTGAACGTGCAAACCCAGATTGCGTTGGTTGCCGCCCCGGTCCTGACTTCATTGGGCGGCTCGATGTTCCAGGATCCTAGCCCTGCGACTGACCCCAATCGCTCCGAGTTCTGTCGCGGAATATTGCAATTCTTGGAGAAATACATGGACGACCTCTTCGACTTGAGTAGAACCACCGATGCTGTCTCCGCTCGAGACTTGATTCAGTACTTTCACGCGCTATTATTTGAGCTCTGTCTCTGGGATAAGGATATCGAATCGGATCTGGTGGACAAGTTCCTCGACTTCAGGAGCGTAGATTCGCCGACGACTTCTTCTCCGACCGAAGTCGATCGTACTGGACCCGAACACCAGTATCGCGATGAGCCTCAGTACTTTCCAGCTTTAGTCGCCAACGCTTGGAAGTTCAAGCTTCTGCGCCGATACCTCACCAAAGGTAAGATGGATCTACGCGTCATGAGTATAGCTATGATGGATGTTTCCTTGGTAGAGATCTGGAGACAGTACAACAACCCCGATTCGACAGGCGAACACCCCGTCATGCGATATCTAGCCGACTTTCTGCTTTATGGGAATGTCGTTGACTACATTGTCAGCGTCGACTCACACCCGCAACTGATCGCGCGCAGCGGTAACATCGTTGGTTTTCTTGTCGTAACTAGACGTTGGACAGATGACCAAGCGGATGCTATCTGGAACACCGTTGCCAATAGTCCTGACCCTCGTGTCGTTACCGCGACACTGGCCATGCTTAGAGCAATCATGCACATGATGAGGCCTACAGATCACTTGTACTTTTGTACGAAACTTTATGAATTGCCTATCAGGAGCTACACCGTGGATATTACTCGATTCCTGCGGGAGCTGGGCCCAAAGATCCTGGAGAAAGCATCACCGGAAGATTATGCTGCGAGAGAAGATACTGCTAGGCCATGGAATGTTTGCACCCGCATCATCCGCGACACAATGTGCCAGGCGGATACGGACAAAGACATGTTAGACCTGCATCACGAGGCTGCTAATTACCTGTCAGCTCTGGCTCCTAATGTCTCTGTTGAAGAGCGCCATTCCATCTACAGAGATTGTGCGGATCACATTTACAGTCATTCGACGAAAGCGACTGGAAGCGCAAAAGTCATCTACGCGCTCGCCGCACCAATCCCTTCTGAAGACGAGAATTTTTTCCAAAAGAATCAGGATGTCACACGCAAGATTCTGGATGAGATCGCATGGTTTGTCGAGACTGAGAGGAATGCCGACTCATCCCTACGTCAACAAACAGCTCTATGCTGCAGATTGGAGCTTCTAGCACTTATGATCTGTTGCGCTGGGTCAGCCATACCCGTTGAGATGTATGAGCAGCTGTGGGACTACACAATCGGTACACGTGCGCTATCGAACACTACCAGGGATTTGGCATGGGCGCAATTATCCCAGACGCTCAAATTCGCCCCGGACAACAACTACTGCAGACAACTTGTCTCTTCCCATATGGTACACATGAACACCGGCATTTACACGAATGGCATGTTCGAATTTGTTGCCAGCTATAATTTCCCGATGAAGCGGCAGCTTGTGGGGACTGATCAAGGAGAAAAGGGTGTGTTACAGATCCCCGGTGCAGACGTGCTGTGGTCCATGGTTTTATCCTCACCGGAAGGCACTATTGAGGATCGCGCCGCCCGTCTTCTTGCCAGTCGCTACGTACAGATCAACGAAGCCGATGGCGTTATGCTAGCAGATGTGGAAGCCGCTCATGTCGTTCTAGTGGAAAGATGTATGCAGGAGATGCATTCGGCATGCAGGCTCATACGCGCTCAATCCTCCAATGGAGACTTATCGAATATGGATGTCACTGCAACTGAGAAGATGGTTCTTGAGAATGAAGAGCGTTATCGCAGGATCATTAACTTTCAGAAACTACTGCTGGAGAAGATACGCCACAAACCAGAGTTCAACCGAAGTCGGAGAGCAGATTCCAAAGTCGACGAAACAGACATGCCTTACGGTGACGCGATCGCGATCCGGTTTCAGTGCGGCAACGACAGGCAAGTCGTGATGATGGGTGCGGATCATACAGTAAACGACCTCTACCAAAGATTATGTCACGTATCGGGATACACCAAAATCAACCTTTTCGCAAAGGGTCGGCGGCTCAACATCACTGAGATGTCGAACGAGAAGCTTAATGGCGTCGACTTTGGGGGACAGCTATTAGTACAAAGGGCACCAGACGCGGAAGTCACTCGCCCGATGCCCGGACAGGGTACGGGGTCTTCGGTGTTCGAATCTACCGTACTCAAGCATTTCGACGAACTGTTCTCCTTAATGGACTCTGATGACAACATCAGTCAGATGGTAGGTACCCGTTCGAGATCAAGATGCATTTCACTAACACAAGCAGCTATTCGATTACTTGAGCTTCTTTCCGGCGCGGTATGCTTTTGCAGAGAGCGTCGTGACCGGTGCGGCGCTATCAGAGGAGCTCTTCCCTCCAGGAAAGTTCTATCAGGCGAGATACGCCGCTTTGGCTCTCGAGGCGAGGCTGGCAGAGCAAATCCGTCATGTGCGTTGGTCCGACAATACTTATTGATACAGTTGTACTAACGAGCTAGAAGTCTAATCTGGACGAGAAGTTCCTGGGCCATGCCATACGCCAGTTGAACGAGGCTCTTCTCAATCCTCGGCTCATCAGCGACAACATCTCGAGCTTCCAAGAGCTGCAGCTTGCAGCGGTACTCGTGCATGCTCTGTTGGAGTTCCTTAGAGGTAAGTTCCACACTGGCGCGTCTTATATCACGGTTCATGGCTCATGTTAAGCAGAACGCCCTTCTCCCGCCGCTTCGGCTGCTTACTTCTCAGATGGCGCACGGCTCGGAAACCGCCTTGTGACGATCCTATGCATGGCACTGGAAACAAATGAAGATGCTACCGTAATCCAGGATTGTTACGGCACTATCCTAGAGGCCTCACTCCACTCTCGAGTTATCTGGGAAGCGTTCGTTGAGCATCCTCAAACTCCGCGACTCCACCGGGTTCTACTGTTGAGCGACCCCAGGCAGTCTGTGCGAGAGCATGTCGCTCAGAAGATCACATCCGTCTGCGGCGGCGACCTTCCATCCACATGTCCGATCACTAAAGGCGAGATTGCCACACAATTCTGGGCAGTCATTTCCGAGCTCATTCCGGGCTCATTGTGCGTTCCCGCTCAATCACAGCAACTGTTCAGCATTGCCGAGCAAGTCTTCCGGGCGAAGGACGAGTACAAACGGGACGAACCTTCACTCCGACTTTACCTAACATCTTGGAGCGACCTGCTCTTGGATCACCAACATCAGGAA